GAATTACTTTCAGTTTGAGAAGATATAATTTATACATGAATATAACATAGCAAACATTTTAAAATTTATTCTTACAGTTAAAGAAGCAGCTTTCATTAAAAAAAAACCTCAACCAAATACAACATACCAAGCCAAACAGGCAATGCTGACCTAATTTTTCCAGGGTCTTGGTTCATGTTTAGACCCCAAAGTGACCACAAATAGCTCAGGTTCCAGAAACTCATGTGAAGACCACAGTGTGCTCTCTACTATATGTTTCTCTTTTGTCAGCCTTGAAGAATTAAGCATTAAGACCTGAGGTGCTAGCAACTGAACTGTACCTGAACAAAGGGACCAAGACTTTAGGTTATCTGGCTAAACATCTACTCACCCAAGAGCAAAATAGCTTCTTCATTCCTGGTTTCTGTGTCAAGAACGAAAGAACATTTTTACTGATCTATTAAAATATTTGTGTGGCACAGTTACTAACAGTCTTCTCAGCAATTTGAAAAATTCAAGAAAAATGCTTTTACCACAAAGTAAAGCTTTTTAACATATATTCCTCTCTCACACTAGAAAACACCAACAAATGCTTCCTGTAGAGACTTCTTATCAAGAGGTACTTTGTTCTTCTGAGCAGTCAAAAGGGCAAGTCAAAAGAGCAGACAATAATTTAAGTCAACCAGTAAGTTGTAAGAGAACTAGGAAAGTAATTAAAACTTCAATCATCTAGCTGCCCTGAGGCGGCTTCTGTCATTCTTCCAATGCTGTCTTGGATGCCCATTCAGACTGCCAACACCCCACTCTCTCCACTTTACAGGGCTGATTTCACATTTGAAGCACACTTGATCAACACAAAAGGGGACCTGGTTAGTTCAAGACTTTCCATTTAATACAGAGCCCATGATCTGCAGCAGTTCCCAGATCTTCCTTACCCTGGCTAAAAAAGTAACTTCTAACCACATTTTTCACTCTTCTGTTCTACTTTACAGCAAATATGTTTAATTAGCTATTGAAAAACTAAGATATTTTACAAAGAGAGTAGCACTGTTCAACAGGAATATAATGCAAGCCAATATGTATTTTAAAATTTCCATAGCTACATTACTGTAAAAGAAACAAAACTTTGATACACTTTAATAGGTCCAAAATATTATATCACTTCAATAATCAACATAAGCAATTATTAATAAGACATTTTCCATTCTTTTTTTCATATAAAGCCTTTGAAATCTTTTTCAAATAAAGTCTTTAAAATCCAGTGTGTACTTTACAGTTATAGCACATTTTAATTCACACTAGTCACAACTCGGGTGCTCCATTACCAAAAGTGGCTACTGGCTATGGTACTGGTCAGTGTAGATTTTGAGTCTAATAACCTTTTCTAGGGACTACTGAATGACTAATTACTGTCCTTTCATAAGTAACAGTAAGAAATTAAGATTGGTAACTGAGGCTAAGTATAAAAGTGGATGTAGACTGAAGCACTCTTCACATTATTTGTGTACAGTTTCAAATAGAATATAAAAAAAATTCTCAGGAAATAGGTTGTAACTAGTATCTAAGGAACAAGTGGTAAATTTATGAAGCCAGAGAGGATCATTGTTTGCATTGATATGGAATACACAAATGTAAATATACATATAAACATTTTTCCATAAAGTAAAAAAATTGAAAGCTGAAACTATTCAGAAATTACAAAGTTTATGAAACTTAGTTTAATTAACTTGATCAGAACAAACAAGAAATACATCATCACCATGCGAACTAAAATATATTGAATTAGTTTTATTAGTTTTTATCTTTTTGAATAACATTACCTATTCTGTGTGTCCTTTGGGCACCCACATAAGTATCAAAAATTCGCTGCAATTCACACTTTCCAGTCATCTGTCGTAAGAGCCATTTCATCCAAAATCGAAAAAAGTGCCCATAGAAGAACTCCCACAAAGTAACAAACATTTTTTCCTGGAGAAGAAAATACATAAGACAAACTTAATGACCTTAAAGTTGAATTTTAAAACTACAAAAAAAAATTGTTTACCCAACTCGCCAAATCTGAGATTATATTAAAATCTTTTAACTCATTGTGTCCATTTGGTGATGGTGTTTAATTGGTGTTTAATATGAAAACCACAACAGGCGTAATCCACAGCCCAGATTAATTAAATGATGGCTAGCCAGAAGGTCAATTTATCACTTTAAAAATTGTAAAAATCAAAAGAACTCAAATCAGTCACTTAATGGCTTAAAAGAAGCTAATAGAAGGTCTCCATTTTTTTCCCCCCAATATTTCATACTTTCCTATTTTATCCCTCTCTGAGAACTGGGACTAAGCAGTTTAAGAACAAGAGGACCCCAACTAAACAACCAGTGTAATATATCTAACATCAGAATTGTTTCTATAAGGAATAAGCTCTTCTAAACCCTTGTGGATAATTTGTTACAACTGTCGCACAGTCAGTTGATGTCAGGCAAATAAAGACACTACAAATGGCTTACAAACTCAAATACAAAAGTTGAAAGCAGAGTAGATCACACTCCAGCTAATTCATCATTTTCCATTCAATAGATGAAGTGCAGAAATACTAATAAGAGGTTAACCCCCCGACACCCTGAAAACAAAAACACTACACACTTGATAAAACTGGGTGTTCAAAGGAAACTCTTCAGCTCCTCAATGAAGAGGAGATGCAAGCGAGGGGCAGATACTTAAAAAAGAAGATGCTCATCTCCTTCCCGCCCTAAACGTTCCCACAGACCCTGCCTCTCTGAAATAGGGCCCGAGGGGTTGTCAGATTCGAAATCCTGGCAGAGCAGTGCGGAGACGGCGCACAGCACAGACGGGATTGCTCTGGATCTTTAAATTGAATTCATCCGGTCCGCGCTCCTCAGGACAAAAGAAGCCGAGGCAGCGCTGGACTCGCGGCGCCCGCCGCAGCTCCCAGACCTCCGGGCGTCGCTGCGCCGAGCCCCCAGCGCAGCACCGCAGCGTCCGGCTCGCGCGCTGCTGCGAGTGGGAGGGGACGGCGCGCACAAAGCCGCGCGGCCCATGCGCCCGCGCAACTCCCGCAGGAAGGCGCAGGGCTCGCGCTGCCCTCGGCGCAGCCGCACGGCAGCGGCGCCGGGGTGAGAGAAAAGAAACAGCAGCCACCTCACAGCAGCGGAAGAACTAGGGGAAGCTGGAGCTGCCTCGGTTTCCCCAACTGCAAACAGCCGGCAACGGAAACGACGCTGTTGGACAAGCGCTCCCTGCAAACACCGCGACCCGGAAGTCAGGGAGGGAGGCCTCGGGACCGCCCTCCCCGGACTCTGCGGCCCCGCCCCTGCGGCCTCTTCCGATTGGCCCGCGCTCCACCTATTGCTTTCGCGGAGGGCGGGTCGAGACGGGAGGCCAGAGCGTGCGTGCCTAGGCTCCCGGGACGCTCTCCTGGTTACCGTGGCAACCGCGGCTGGCAGACACGCCCAGCGCCAGCGTGGGTTTTCCTAGTTGCTCTTGGTACTTTTCTCTCCTTAAACCTCAGAGCGAGTTAAAGCCATGTACTGTTCCTAGACTCCACGCACAGAAGTGACTGTGTGCTTTTGGTAACTTTTATAGCACTTTCACCCACATTTAATCTTAGTTCTGCCAATTAATTAATTGCTCCAGTTGATAAACAGGTCAATTTAGTTGCACATAGTTAATAAGGAACGCTTTACATGTAGAGAAGTTTAGACATTTTCCCTCTATAATAGTAAACATTTTTAACAGTTAATGCATCATTCACTCCTTCACTGTTGTTTTCACTGGAAAAGTAATTAATGCACATGATTTTCTTTGAAAAACATCAAATGGTACAGTTACATTCATTAATTCAATAAATGTCTGTTGATTACCTATTATGCACCATACCATGTTCCAAAAGGGAGTCATACCCTAAACCAACAGACAAATATTTAGTATGCCAGATAGTGAAAAGTAAGGGTTTTAGGAGAGTATTGGAAGTGACATTAGGGAGTGTGTGGGAAGACTCTGCAGCAGTCTCAGGAATAATGTGACCTTTGCGCCTCACTGAATGAAGGGAGAGAGTGTCCCATGAGAGTGGAGGATGGGGCTAGCCAGTACTGCAGGTACTAGAAAGGCCAATACCAAGACCCGAAATGTTGGAGGAACAGCAAGAAGGCCAGCGTGGCTGGAGGAGAAAGAGCAAGGCGGAGAGAAGACTCTAAGTACAAATGATAGCCTACATTAAACAATAACTTTATCCACCCATCCAAGATTCCTAGACCTCAGTCTCTTGCACAGAAGCAACTAGTATTGATTTCTTATTTATATTTTAAAAATATTATCTGCAATTATCTATCTATATATTTCCTCCGTCTCCTTGTTAATAAAAATTGAAGTAAACAATACACACTTCCCCACATCCCAGATAGTATTTTAATGTTAAATACTCACTGTGGAATACTAGACATGTGAAGGACATGTGCACCACCAACCTTTGTCCCACAGAAGTTCATTTATTACGATGAACTTGGTAATGAAGTCTGGATGTATACTATGAAAATAAAATCATAGGATCCTAGGCCCTGAGGAGAACTTAGAAATTATCATAACTGAATGCTGATCTGTTTAGTCACAGTCTGAGAAATTGGTTAAACTTCATTTATGAGAAGCAGAGTCACTGTACATTTAAATTTATCATGTGTACTCGTGGCTCTTCTCTTTTCCATGAATTCTCTTGTGTGTATCTGATACAAGTATTAAACCAATCCTGTTCCTTAGGGAAGATTGGCCAACTCTCTTTCTCCCATATCTGGTCTTCTTCCATGCACCTGGCTAAGGGGTGGTTACGTCCTACAGTTTAGATTTTGGCTTCATGGAGAAGGTGGGACCTTCTTCATCTAGGTCTCTGGGTCTCTCAACTAACCTGTGTGCTTCGTCCTTACCGTATCAAATACCTACATGGAAATCAAAGGCTACGTCACAGTGGAGTTTGCTTATATTTTTTAGTTGTACTGAAGAATCCCTGCTTTTTTTGAATTCTCAGACTAAACAACTATGGAACTGTTGATTTTAGGAACTGCTTAATGGAAAACATGGCAACAACTACTAATGAACAACTTGTTACAGCATATCCAGCATTTAATCCACAGAATGTCCAAGTCAATATTCCTTTTGGAATGTGTAAAGTCTGGAACATAGCAAATTTATCCTGAGAAGAAAAATGCTGGACAGTTGTCCCTTGCTATCCATGAGGGATTGGTTCCAGGATCCACTCTGATGCAAAATCCACAGATGCTTAAATCCATTATATAAAATCAGATGGTGTTTACATATAACTTACAACATCCTCCTAGATAGGTATTTCACTTTAAATCATTTCTGAATGTCTTATAACACCTTATACAATGTAAATATAATGTAAGGGGTTATACTCTTTTATTCAGGCAATAATGACAATAAAACAATCTGTTCATGCTCAGTACAGACATAATGCCTTCCCCAATATTTTTCATCCACAATTGGTTAAATTCACAGATGCAGAACTCATGGGTAGAGAGGGCTGATTGTATATTCAGCACAAAGTAGAGATTTTAATTCACCTATTAAGGTTGTAGGGGAAAAAACCTTTACTTGACTCCTGGTGAATGGCCCAAAATATGATATGACTAATGCTGAATGGCAGAGGATAGTAGAAAGCTTTTTAAAATTACTTAAAATTATTGAATGTACCTTCATGACAGTGCTAAATGTACTAAATACAAGCAGCAGACTGAAAAGGCAATATAATGGTATGGAAACTGAAGTTTGGAACATATGGAAATATTACCATGTTACCGTGTTACCAATGGATGGCACCAGAATAACTATAAAAATGTATTTGGAGACATAAAAAAGAAAACATAATGAGCTCTTGCTTTTACCTAAATACATAATTAGAATAGATATGTTAAAGGCCTTTGTCATTACCAGCTTAAGCTACTTGTCTTTAAGAGAGATAAATATGCCCTTCACGTAGTTTTAATTAGACATGCATAAAGAAAGCCCTATAGTAAGTATCAGGAAGTATCAAATGCTGGAAGGACACAGGCATCTTGTCTTTCATTAAGAAGCAGTGGAGAAAGAGATGCTAATCTCCACTGACACTTTCTATTTATCTTGCATGGCTCTCTATTAATCTTGCATGGCCAGGGAGAGCACAAGACAGCTCTTAGAGGTTACTCTTGTTGAATTTAAGCAATGTAGTTTCCAGGATTTAAACAAGTGTCTGCTCTTCCAGGCATCGCACAAGCTGCACAAGAGGTCTAGCATGTTGAATATGAAACTTTACGTGATAGATTAGGCCAACACTGTCTCCTTGAACTCACTCAAGAGTCAGCTAAGTTTGCTTGTGCATGTTTATGGCCTTTCTCTGATGATATTTGACCTCCTCAACTTGCTGTCACACTTTGGAGAGATTGGATTTAGATGTGATCACTAATGAAAATCAAGTGAATTCATTGCTTTGATGATGACATTAAGATGATTTTGCCTTGGAAGAAGAAACTCAGAAAGATCTGAGAGTTGTAGTGATACCCACTACCAGCCTATGACTGGTTAATGCATCCTGCTAAGATTCAGAACCTACCTTAATCAGCAAAATATCAAAAGATAACTTTGGACCATCAGAGGTATTCCACAAAAAGTAAATAATAAATTCCTCTCCCTCCAGGATTCTGACAGTAAAAAGGAGGTATAAAACCTGAGGGGCTACTTGATAAGCTGTGGCCAATATGTAATGGTTGGTGACCTGAGTACATCACTGGGACCCTCCAATTCCAGCACTGTTCACATGCTTTTGTAAGTTTCTAACTCCAAGATACATGGGAATAAAGGCTTTGATTGAAAGATAATACTGCCATCTTGTGGTAACTACTAGGATTTTGACCTTGAAAGTTTCCTGATGATGGGACTAGGGAACTTTTGCCAGTATGCTATTGAGCTCTCATGAAAACAATCTCCACAACTTAGGAGCATCACATTAATTTAAAATCCAAACTACCCATTATAAGTTGGAGATATCACAAAGAAGTAGAATAAAAGCAGAACAATAAAATTCTCAAAAGAATTTGTCATGAGAAGTGTCTCTGGGGAGTTATGAGACATACCTGAGCAGATAGCATCGCTGTCTTAGAACTAACAAGCAGCCCGCTTCTGTTGCTGAAAGGTCTAGACATCACTACTCTCTTTCCACCAAAATTGGAGAAATGTATTCATTTATCCAGAAGAATGCCTATATAGCAGGAATTCCTGTACAACCTTCTACTCTTCGCCCTATGGAGAGAAAAGACTCAAAAGATTCCAAGGCAAGTTCATGCCCTGGGCAGAGTTGAGAGCAGTGTGCAGGACAGAGGAGGGAGACCTTAATTCTTTACTTTGGGTGATGTTTGGATATTTGCCGAGTCATGGACAGTAACCGATGGCTTAACTGTGAGGTCAAGAATGTAAGAATCTTGATGAGTTAACAATAAGAATTCTCTAGTACTAGAGATTCAATTATGGAAGACCCTATAGGATTTCTATGGGATGATGTTAGGTGAATAAGATGCCATCCCCTGGAAGCAGCCACTGGATAGCTAATTTGAGTTGGCATGGTAATGCCAAAGTCATGAAATAATGTGTGGAATAATTATATGTACTACTTGTTCCTTACCTAAATCACTAATGTGGTAAGAAACTGTTGAATGTTAACCATTTAAAGATGGCTTTGGGGAAAATCTCCTTGGCTTGGAGGAGCATAAGGGCCAGTGAACATATAGAATTACTATTTGGAGCCACAAAGGATTCAAATAAGTTTGACACTTATGTCATCATGGGCCAAGCCAAAGCAGCAAACATTATCAAGAGCTTAGAATGTAGCATTATTTGGTTTCCTAATAATTTATCTCACTGGATCAAAGAATAATATGTGAACAATGCACAAAATTATCTACCTCCTGAAAAAGAACCCTAACATGATACAGGTGTATCATATTCTGCCTTTGAGGTACTTGTCCAATGGCTACTGGAACAAGTAATGGAAAATAAAACAGATTATCTGAAGGGCTGGCTCAATTGGGTGAATGTGTGCTTTTTC